ATACAACAAGAAATATGCAAGAACTTGATAGCTAATAGTTTAATAGAACTTGATCAGCTGATTCTGAAATTAACCTGAAGAAGAAAAAGGCCAGGACAAAGCTTGCCCATTCTTTTTTGAGAAGAAGAAAATAGAGACTATTAACTGTATCAGAAACAAATATATGATGAAGTGCTATTATTTAAAACAGTATATACACAGTGCAGAAAAAGGCAAATATTCTTAAAGAACAAAAGTACTTAGAAATACATTTAGAAACCTGAAAACAGACACTTGTATGTATCAAATTTGATATATAATAGAAATGGCATTTCAAATCACTAGGAAAAGACAGTATTATGTAGTACATGTACTTAGAAAGGCAAGTAACAATTTAATAAGAACAAAGCTTATGTACTGTATTATTTTCTCATGCAAATACATTTCAAATGGAATAAAGAGCCATGCACAATAAGTAAAATATTTAAGTCACTGGAATAAAATAACAAAAATATTTTTTTATTTCAGCTGTATGATTGTCATAAAGACACCACAAACAAAATAAATGACATCTATAGCTCAGAAGAAAAAGTTTTCGATATATATAGCAGAAAAAGGTCAGTACAATAAATGTAGTTCTTTTAAATCAAAATAAACTCAACTACCAAGACTATAAACAAACAATAGAGAGATGAAGAAATGTGAAAACTATATGTGAAAAGATGTTCAATTTCATTAATAATGAGGAAATTGCAAACTAAAGAATGTTTGCCAGCAGACTATTAAAAGTTGGAAATCATGTTAATATGTGGCCATCAAATGATAAAAAGTGGTGTCCTCTCCTATGCAACTGTGGAAGTGAATAGATATAGCCATTTGAGGGGAGACAATCAGATTTAGAGACGTGCTTTGCTTTATGATGGGATTACTCCCAATAAGCCCACTGTAAAAATAAAAGATAAGACAAAAATGCATTTAATATACTTAATCTACTGAATATCATAACACGATGCATAGTAGAATGTTGGTTACTTACACCTTTGACAGCAGAGTTGAAAGATGCCCTTTGATAAGAAAGTATACCATGTATTGCTAGACCAAAATTAAAGAACAGTTTTTATTGAATGTATATGGTTTTTTGCATCATTGTAAGTTAAAAATTTGTAAGTCATACAGTTTTAAATCAAAAACCAGGTGTATCTATCCATGCTGAAAGTGTACAATGCATTTTGAGTTGGAAGTAACACGGATTCTCTTCTATTCATCTTGCTATCACAGCCAAAGTCCTGAAGGTAATATTCTATACCCAATTTCTCATCTTCCATTCACTTTTTGAATTTTAGTAGTGTCACTCATTACATATATTCCAATTGCACTGAAACTTGTGGTGGCAGTGATTAACAACTACCTAGTTGTAACCTGTGATGAAAATTTTTTCAAGTACTTGTCCTTTTTGTTCCTGAAATATTTGAGGCTGTGGGCCATGCCCTCCTTAATGTTATTTCTTCCTTTGAATTCTAAAACTCTTCACACTTTTTACTCTTTCTCTTAATTTCCTTTGTTTACTCTTCTTTAATTAACCCTTCAAATTTGTTGTTCTCCAAGGATTATTACCTGCCCTTCTTTCTACTTGACATGATCTCAGTGAGTAAAATCAATCTATGGTTTTCATTTTTACCTACAATGCGCTTACGATTTTAAAACAACCAGTACCATCAATCCAGGCACTTCGACTGAACTCTAGACCCTCTCTGATATTGCCGCCAAGACACTCCACAGGTATCCCAACAATCTCAGTAACACATTAATTTCTATTCTTTGTTTGGATTAAAGTTCTACTGTCTACCTAGCCAATCCTAGTTAGAATCCTTGCAATCACCTGACATTCTTTTCCATTCTGCAACTCCACATTCAACATATCAACAAATCCTATAGATTCTTTGTTATCCTCTGATAGTCACATGTTATTTTCTATCCTCAAAGCTAATGGCCTTATCACCTTTTTAGGAAGTTTTAATCTGAAATTCAAGGATTCTCATGAATTGATGGATGGGTTTCAAAAGATCTATGGATCGCTTGACATCATATGTGAAGAATATGTTATATGATCCATAAAAATGGATCAGAGCCCTCAAAAAGTTAATAACAATTTAGCTTTGTCTAATTGTTGTTATAGCCTTCTAGCTATTCTTTCTTTTTCGAGTTTCACTCTTCTAGCCTGTTATTCCTCCTGTTAGCATAATGCCTGTCCAAAATATAAATCCCATCATGCCTCTCCTATTTTAAAAAACCGCAAACTTTTACCATCTTAAGATAAAACGAATTGTAAGGTTTCTCATATCTCTTGCTCCTGCCGACTTTCGCAGCTTTTCTGTATCAGTTTTTATTTTCATCTTACATCTCTCAAATCTAACCCATGATAAGTTTTTAATGCTGAAATTGCTCTTAATGTCCTGTTTGTTTCCTTCTTTACTTTTGCTGACATTTCTTGTTTTGCCCAGAGAGCCCCCTCCATACACTGTCCTGTGCTTTCTTTGCTTCCCAAATTGTCAGATATTCCAATCCAGGTAGAACTGACCACTTCTTCCTCTGTGCTCACAATATACACTATTCTGAGCTTTACCATAATCCTTGGATTCCTACATGGCATTTGCTTAAGGCTATACAGATCGACTCATACACTCTGAGAGTAGAGATAGTGTCTAGTTTGTTCTTGCCTCCAGTAGATAATACAGGGCTTGGACCATAAGGTGCACCATATATGTTGATTAAATGATTGTAAACGGGATACCAATCTGTCTGTTTTTGTCACCGTCCACTTTTTCCCATACGCTAAAAGGAGAAGAAGTAGGAGGAGGGTTGGACAAAGAAAGAGCATCCCTGATAAAAGGATGTGATTGGGAATATTTTCTAATTATAAACAAAATCTTATAAATATCAAATCCTCTTTACAAAGGCCAAGAATTGTAAAGTAATGTGAAATAAGAAAAATGAAGAACTTTTTTTCAGCTTTTGATGGGCACTCAAATTTCTGTTAGCTTCATTCAAACATCAATTTTATAAGATTAATTTTTCCTAACCTTTGAGTAACATTAAAATATGTACTAGCTGGAGTATACTAAGAAAAAATAAGATATCAATGTTTTCTAGAAGAAGGGTAGGAAGAGGGAAGACAAAGGGAAATTGTATAATGAGTACCAAAATAGAGCTGCGTTGGAGGAATAAGTCCTAATATCCCTCCCCCTCCTTGGTACTGGGGATTGAAATCACAATCTCACGCTTGCCAGGCAGGCACTTATGCCACTGAGCTAAATCCTTAACCCTTAAGTTCTAATATTCTGTAACACATTTTTATGAAGAAAAAGAAGAAACAAATTCAAAGTTTCCCCTAACAAAGAAACAATAATTGTTTGTGGAGACAGAAATACTTATTTTTGAATCCCACACTGAATATATGTATCTAAATATATTGTATTCCATAATATGTACATTACTATATGTTAATTTGAAAAACTACAGAAAGAAAAGGCATTAGTGTTTTGAATTTGCATATCAACTAACTGATAATCAAAGAACAGAAAACAACAATCAAACTGCCAGTTTTTTACTTTAGGGCACATGAAAATGAAACATGCAATTCTAAGATTTTACAGACAAAATCAGTCTTAATAAAATTCCTTTACATGTAATCTTGAAAAACAACGTGAATTCCTGAAGACCGTGTATTGTTGTGTTGCATTTGTGTGTGGTCAAACGTTGAAAGCAGAAAGGGAAATGGAGAAAGATGAAAGAAAATATCCCATCTATGAACCTGAGAAGGGAAAGAGAATTTCTAGAAAATATACCAACCTCTTGAAAAAGAAGTTTCCTACTTGCTTCAGTGAAATAACAATCTAACATAAAAAAGGCATTATCACTGCATCATGCAAATATTGACTGACTTAGCTAATCAGGGCTGTGTATCAACAGCCTCTTTTTCCCTGGAGTCTACAGGGACAGCTTTGTGTACTCTGCAGTCTCTTGTGCCTGAGCCAACAACTGATAGAGTATTAGATCAAAGCCTTGGTACACAGATGCCAGGCAATTTGGTATTAAACCAGCGATAAGGGTACAAAAGAAGTCTCAATGTACTTTCACCACAATTTGAACAGCAAATAGTTAATTGGGTTGATAATAGATGTCAACATTTCATATGATGTCATGGTTCTAGAAGGTGTAACTTCTCTGGCCCTGAAGTGAAAAACCAAATTATTTTATTTTTGAAATGAAGCAAATTTGAATATCATTTCATTACTTATGCTTTTTTATCTGATGCATTTGGTTAAACATAGTTTTAATGATATCTTCAAGGATTTTTATAAAAGGGCAGAATGTAATTTTTTATCTGCAGAATTTAAATGAAGTGTTTAAAGGTGATGATCAGCCAGGAAGGTTTGCATTCAATGCAAATAATCAAGGCCCGGATTCATTAAGGATTACGGAGATGCTGCTATTTCCAGATTTTTTTCTTATGTGTGTGATTTATAAACTATCTTGCCATTCATTCCATAAAACAAAAATGGATAGCATGGAGTATGAAACATTTTTATTTTCCTGACATTTTTATTTAAATGAGAAGTAAAATAATCGACCATATAGTTACTTTAAATCAAATATCAGAAAAAAGAGGATATTAATTTTTATTCAAGCATTATATAAATAGGTCAAAAGTATAAAATTCTTTAAAAGTTACTACTAAACTATGTATCCTCCCAAGTTTCTAATATCACTTGCATGATAAATAAGTGATTTCCCAATACTAAATGAAGTACTGAGCCCTTAAAGCTACGTTTGCAAGTTGCTCTAATTACATATAAAGGGAAAATAGGCCCTGATATAAACCCACGATAGCTAGTGCTAAGAAAGATGAAAATAATACCACAGCAGTCACAGAGCTGATAGTTGATAAAGACCAAAGAAGTGAAGTATCACTAACTTTACGTGGAACAACCACATAGTAAGTCTCTGGAATACTACTTCCCTTTTCCAGATTTCATAATAAAATCAATGTATATTAACAGTGCCATCTACTGCTTGGCAGTAACACTACAGTGCCCCAAAATGGCCCAATGAATTTAAGGTGGGTATTTCTATTTTTGTTGGGGGTGTCATCACTACAATTGGTCCATCATGCTATTCTGAGGGCATATGAAATGCGTTAAACATATAGAATCATGAATGTCTCTTTATTTCAAAAAGGGGTAGGTGTGCTTCCAAACAGTAATTAGTGGGAGCAACCATATAATGAAATAGATTAGAGTCAGGAGAACTGTGTGCGTGCGCTTATTCTTGCTCCTGTTTTGCGGTTGTTTGACCTTGTATTCTGGTTAGGCTTCACCATCCTTCTTGGCATAATGCTAGCAAGACGATCATTTGGACTTCTTTATTTTAGGGGAAAAATCTATCACATTGTTCTGTGGGCTCCAGAATGAAGGAGTTTCCATCCTCTTCTCCATGCTTTCCAGTTATGTCTCAAACTGTAGTTGTGAACAGTTAAGTTATTTTTAGGGTACCTAACATGCAAATAAAATAAGCGCCTTGGTATCTAAGACATACAGGCAGTTTAGTCTGTAAAATGCCAATTAGTAAATATTTCCACTTCTTTATAACCGTGGACATAGAGTTCAATTCCAACAAGAATGGAAAAAATATGCCGCATAACATTGGCGTGTTAACTTTTTTAGATGACATCTCCCTATATTGCCCACAGTTCGTACAACTCCTGGGTGAAACTGACCCTCCTACCTCAGCCTCCCATGTACCTGGGGCTACAGGCATATGCACCACACTCAGCTTTGCTCTAAAAAATTTTGAACAGAAATTATGTACCTCCTAGTGTAGCATACTGAGAACACAGTATCATTTAAGGTAATATTTCTGTCAAAAATGGAAAATATCAATCTATTCATACAGAACGATTAGACAAACTCAAATTAAGAGACTTTCTGTAACAAATTTGCCTGAAATACTCCAGTGTCAAAGTTAAGCAAAACAAAGAACCGAGGACTGTTTCAAATTCAAGAAGACTAAAGAGATATGACAACTCAATGCCATGTGGATCCTGAATTAAGTTCTGAAGCAAGGGGAAAACTGAAATTTAAAAAACTATTGCTGGGACAACTAGAAAAATATACATTTTTATTAGATAATGCTATCAAATTGGTGTGAATGTTCTTGAATTTAATAAACATGGTTATGTAAGAAGCATCTTTACCCTTAGGAAACAAATTCTAAAACATATGGTGATAAAAGATATGATGTCTACTACTAACTTTCAAATATTTCAGAAAAAATGCTTCAAGAAGAGAGTGGGGGGATGAAAAGGAAATGAGGTAAAGAGTTATCATTGATAAATTTGGGTGAAAGGTAAACAGGATTAATTTTGTTTTATTTTTGAAATTCCTCAGTGAGTTTGAAATTATTTTAAAATAAATAGTAGATACAGTGTCGTTAATTTTAAAACATAGGTTTTAAAGCTGGAAGAGAATAGAAGAACATCATTTAGTTCAGATAAAGTCATGAAGCAACCTAGCTGACAATGCTTAGAAGAACTTCTGAAGGTTGCCACGTCTCCTGGTTCTCCATCCAGTCACCTTCCCAGCAAACCACACTGACATGAACAGATTACACAGCCCAGCTGTCGAGGTGCCAGACCTTGTCACTCAAATCTCCCCAGTCCTCGTTATAAAACAAATTCATCCTCCAACACTGCTTGCAGCTTTCTCCGCGTGAGGAAACCGCAATGCAAAAGACCTTCTCCTTCCCTCTAGTGAACTCCGAGACCGCAGAGGAGTCGCAGTGCATACATAACCCCAGCTGTAGCCTTTGATCTGATTTTAAACCTGAAATTACATGCAAAGGGGTCAATTCTTGGGTTAACAAAACAGTTACAGGTATTTTGTATAGATCTTACATTTTGTTGGTTATCTTTTGTTGCATGATAAAAGATGATGGATTTAAAAGTAAAATGCCCAGGTTCTTGGAATCCAACATTAGCACTCCTTTCTAGACTATAGATTTCCTTATACTGTCCAATCAGCACTCATTAGGAGATAAGATGAATGGGCTTATTTTCTACATCAAAGTGCCAGCAGTTTTCGAGAAAGAAAAGAGAAAGAAGATAAACAGTAGAAATACATCAGGAAGCTAGTCTCTTTAACCACATACTTCACATTTTTTATAAAAAAAACTTGCTAATTAAACAGCAAATACTAAATACAATGATCAAATACTTTTTAACATGTAAATCAGTCATTCTTTTTGTACCATAATATTCATAATTTTATGCTAATTAGCACAACCTCTAGAAGTCTCACTTGAAATTTTTTGTGTTAGTTTACCCATCTAACTTTCTTTTGACTGTATATCAAAGGAAAAGGTTTCCCTAATGCTCAAACGTCTGATTAATCCAAGGAACATTCTGTCAGTAACCTGAGTTCTCATCTGTATTTACTTCCTCAGCAACAACATTCGAAATCACCTAACACCACACAATGTGGATGGCAGTGCTTTCACGTGACTTTTTTTCCCTCCCTAGATTGGCTAACACTTTACCAATATACAAATCAAAAGCTGTAAAAGTATTGGACTGGATCAGACCCATGTTTCAGCTTGCTCATGTCTTACCCTACAACCAAGGAGCACGCAATTGTGGGCATGGATGTTTTTGTCCCTAAGCATTCTCACATCCCAATTTTTTTCATATTCATTCAAGATATTCACCTACAAATGTATTGAAAACTGAGCAATTACAGAGATAACCGTGCTACATATAAGTCAAGATGTAAGTTCTGGGACTTCTACTGGAAGCAGACTGGTAGTCAGAGCGGCAGAGGACCTGTGGCCAGGAGCATAGAGTGTGGCTCAGACCACCCTGTGCTGGGTCCTAGTTCTATTGTTTATTCTATGATTCAGTTTCTTCATTTGAAAAACGGGGCAACACGGTGTCCCACATCATGAGGCTAAGGTCTACACGCCGGTGGATGTGTGTAAGTGAAGTGTACTAACAATTTAAATTTTTCCCTTGACACACTTTACAAAACCCTTTGGTGAAAGTGTAGAGACTTTCTACATCAGTTGCTTTATTTTGTTAATATGCACATTCTGGGGCCCTACTATACCTCACATAGAATTGGAATTTCAAGGGTAAAGTCCCTGTGCACTGAATTTCAACATTTTGCTTAGGAGTTTAGAACCAGAATGCTATCAATTTATATGCATTCCACATATTTTGTTCTTTTGTTGTTGATGTTATTGGGGCTTTGAATTTAAACATACTTTTATTTTGGTAAAAACACAACATAAGATCTACTCTCTTAAGTTTTTACATGAGCTAACTATAGTCACAACACCACACAGCAATTTTTAGAATTTATTCATACTGTATGACTAAAACTTTATACTTCCTGATTAGGAACTCCCCATTTCTCCTCCTCTCTGCCCTGATCATCACCATTATGCTCCCTGTTTCTGTGAGTCTGACTATTTTAGGTACTGCATGTAAGTAGGTCTAGACTGAATTTGCCCTTCTGTGACTGGCTATTTTACTTAGCACACTGTCCTCCAGATTTATCCGTGTTGTCATATATTGCAGGATGTTCTTTTTAAAGGCTGCATAATAGTCCACGCTATATTATTACACTACATTTTCTTTGTCCATTCACCTGCCTGCAGAAGATTAGGTTGGCTCCACACCTTGATGAAGAGCGCTGCAACAAACTCAGGAGTATTATCTCCTCCTCACAATCCTGATTTCATTTCTTTTGGATAAATATCCAGAAGTAGGGCTGCTGTATCGTATAATGTTAGCTTTGTTGTTTCTCACAATTGTTTTTGGATGTTTGGGTCATTTGTTGTTCCACATGCACTTTGGAACTGTTTTTTCTGTCTATAAAAAATACCACCATGATATTGATAGGAATTTCTGTCAGTCTATTGATGATTTTTGGTGGTATGGCTATTTCAACAAATTAAAATCCATCAATACAACATGTCTCCCCATTTGTTTGTATCTCCTTTAATTTCACAACATTTTGCAGTTTACAGTGTATAAATGTTTCACCTCAGTTCTTTATTCCTTTTTTTATTTCAATGCTACTGTAAGTAGAATTCTTTTTCTAATTTCCTTTTGAGAAAGTTTGTTGCTATTGTATAGAAACACAACTGATTCTTGTATATTGATTTTGTACCCTATTAAGGTATTGAATTCAATTTTTGGTTTGGTTTGGTTTTGTGAAATCCTTTGAGTTTACCATATGGGAGATCATGCCACCTGTAACAAGTACAATTTTACTTCTTCCTTCTTCTTCTTCAGGATGCTTTTTATTTCATTCAGTTACCTAACTGCACTGACCAGTACTTCTAGCATTATGGTGACTATATGTTGCAAATTGGGTATCCTTGCCTTTCTAATTCCTAACCTTGGAGGGAAAGTTTTGACTTTTTCATCACTAAGAATGATGTTAGATTTGGTCTTTTCATGTATGATTTTATTATCATGTTGAAGCAACATTCCCCTATTACTAGTTTGTTACAAGATTTTCAATACAAAATAAAATTGAAATTCGTGAAACACTTTTGTATACCTATTGACATAATGAAAGCATTTTTATCCTTTATTTCAGTAAGCTGGTGTATCACACCAATTGGGTGTCATATGTGGTAGTGTTCTTGCATCCCTACAATGAATTCATTTTGCTCAAGTTGTATGACCCTTTAATTGTACTACTGACTGCTAAGTATTTTGTTAAGGACTTTTGAAACTACCTTGATTATTTTGCTCATTTCTAACTTAACTTTACTTCTATACAAATAACACATAACGACAAGAAGACAAAAATGTAAATAAGCCAGGCATGGTGCTGAATGCCTGCAATCTCAGCACTCAGGAGCCTGAGGCAAGAGGACCACTGTGAGTTTGAGGCCAACCTGAGCTACATAATGAGTTCAAGGTCAGACAGGACTATACAGTGAGACCCTGTCTCAAAAAAAATGTGTAAATAAATTGATTTTGCCAATGAATATGTATAGTAAACCAAAGCCTATAAGTGATATTCTGGTGGACAGCATTTACATGGTAGACTAATTAAACGACTATCAGTTATATCTGTTTCCTAGTTTCTGAAGAAATACATTAATAACTTGATGTTTAGTACCAAAAATGACATTCTTTCTCCAGTAAGTTTTATGCTGTTCACAAAGTAATCTAAGAAATGAGTGGGTACAAGTCTCCAGTGGAAATGTGAATTTCAGAGTACATAATATGTGGTACAGACCCAGAAATCTACTGTCTGGCTTCTGGAGAGAATTTTTTTTGTGATCTTACAAATAGGGCTCTATCATTCATTTAATAAATGTTTCTTAAGTACTTCCCATACGCTAGGGAGTTATGTCATGTATGCTGGATGCCCTGTCTACAATCACGTTTGGATATTCAGCAGCAGTTCTCCATGAGGAGTTTGGGAAAGTGTCACAAAGAAGGAGGAATGGAAGCCCAGACAAAATATTTTTCTTAAAAAGGAATTTGCAGGACTGAAATAAACTGACACTGAACCTACTGTGGCGCTTGCTGTGTGTTCTCCCGAGGCTCCCACCCTTTTTCCTGAATCGTTAAAGGAGAATAAAGACACCTGGTGTTCAGTAAGTTGTACCTGCAGCTTCAGAAGCTGTGGTGGAATTCTGCTGATGGCACCCTGAGGTGGGAATGAAGACGCAGGCCCACCATGGGGATATGGAATTACGTCTGTTATTTCCAACTTTGACTGTACTCTGCTGGAATTCTCTCATTCATTCAAAAAAGAAAAAGAAAAAAAGAATTCATGAAAACTTTTTTTCTTAGAAAATAGTTTACCTGTCCCTCAATTCTGACTCTGACAGTGGCATCAAGAGGGTGTAGAGTATCATCTAATGTTAACCTCAAAGCTCAGGTTCCCTAAGTTCTTATTAAGGTCAAGTTTGGCTTGTTTCTAGAGAACAGTTTGCTCAGTCGACAAGAAATAAATAATATCAGACTTTAGCTGTTTGCTTGCCATTTTCCTTAAACTCATTTGTCTGAATTTAGAGTGCCTTGTGTTTGTTCCTTCAAAAAACATGAAATTGTGGTGATTTCATTGATTGATTGATTGACCACAAACATTAAGTACTTTTCCTGTTTACTTTTTGCAGTTATATTTTCAGCTGTCACTGAAAATCACCAGTGTTGGCCAAAAGACTAATGATGCCTTGCAATGAAAAACAGAAACCACAGAGCAGATAACTTAAGGTTCATGAATTTCAGAAAACACATCAGTGGGGGTGCATCTCAGTTTGTGAACCCTTCTGACAAATTCATCCTAGAATTAATAGAAAAATTCCAAGAGGTCTTTCTGCAAGAATTCTTGTTGGAAACAAGAAATGCTAATCTCCAAATTTAGTTACCAAATAATTCTGTCAGGTGGTATTTGTAATCCAGACCATTTTGTGCTCTGCGTGAAGCCTGTCTTTTTTTTACCCCTTCCAAACTCATGCATCAATCTAGTTCTGAAATCAATTTCATGCTTTTCTTTATAAAAATTGGCAGTCAGTGCTTATTCTCATCACCACATGGTGTGTCACACGGTTGTTTCCTGACATATGGCAACTTCAGCTGTGTTTGTTCCCTGGTTTCATTACTTTTCTCTGGGGCATATGCTTCTCCATACCATCTTAGTTTGCTCATTTATTAGGACTAAAAGGTGTTTTGTGGGCCTTTCATTTGTGCGCAGTCAGCAAATCTGATTTTGTGAAAAGGATATAGGAGAAAAATAGTATTTTATCAGATAAGCCAATGCAATGATGAATTGTGTGTCCGTGCTTAAAAAATGTCTCTTCATATTGACAAAATGAGATTTTCTAAAAGCTATATTTGAAAAATAACAGAAGTTGACAGTTTAATCAAGTGGAAAGATAGAGTTGAGACTTTTCACCCACCGACTCTGGAGTCGTCCATAACTGGGAGGACTTGAACAAGAAACTGGTTATTAGCTGGCCACTGCCAGCAGGGAGAATATAATTGAGCTGCTTATGCAAATCACCATCTTCTCAATTATTCAACAGTCAATTTATAAGCACTCAGTTGGAGCCCAACCCAGATGCTCCTTTCTCCATGAAATTTCCTTTGATTGTCCCGGACAGGATTTCTTCCTCTGTATTCAGGTAGGCTGGCTGACACCTGTTTGTAAAGAGCTCATCTTTTTAGGAGAGGCCTATCAGAGACTGATATTAAAGAGTTTGTGAAAAATAAAGATGACTACTGGAAGCGCCTCTCTAAGCAAAATAGCCTGTAAATGTGCCATGAAGTTGTGATATTAGAAATTAAATCTCCAATGTGGGGAAGAGGGAAGGATGACAATAGACATGTTTACAGGGCACAAATTTCTTAGTATAAAATAATCATAGTTTAGCTATGTCTAGCTTATTTGACAAGTTAACTACATAATTCATGTGGTTTCTTTTCCTCTCTAGTATCCTGTCAAAATATCCCTTTCAAATCTCCTCATTTTCTCCCAAATCACAATCCTTATTATTTCATCCTCGGGAAGAAGACACAGAAAAAGCTCTCTTTGTCTATACCTGCCTTGCCAGTCCGTAGAGTACTGAGTTATTCTGTCACGTCCACATGGAATTCGAACAGAAGGCAGAGACCTTCCCCATCTCACCTTCATTTATTTCTCCATCGGGAATGGACACAACAGCAGCATGCTCCAAGGACTGTGAAACGGTGCGAAGAACGTGCAGAGAATGAAGACAGAAACTGGCATTTCCTGCCTGAAGAGTGAAGGCTGAAATGATAATCAATAATACACTTCATAATTTAGAAGGTACATTTTGGTCATTGTTATCTATCAATAGAAGGATAAGCAGTAAGCTAAAACAGAGGAATAAGAAGAAATTTGCATAAAGAAATAATTTCCATAGCTGAACTAGAAACCTTAAAAAACTTAAAATAAGGGGCTGGGGATTTAGCTCAGCGGCATAAGCACCTGCCTTGCAAGCAGGCGGTCGTGAGTTCGATTCCCGGTACCGATAAAAATGAAAAAGACAAAAAAAAAAAAAAAAAACTTAAAATATTCTTTAGGTTGGATGTTCCGTAGAATGGGTTTTCATCTGCTGGAAATTATTTAAATGGAGCATAGTGGTGTATGAGGCAAAAAGTTACCCTCTGATGACAAACAATGAGAACTTTAATATCGGGTTTAACACATCATAATCACAATACTTTAAAGCTGATTTTAGGAACAGAAGTAGTATAATAGACATAATTATTTCCCTCTCAAATGCCTGTACATCAAGGAGGAGTCAAAGATGTAACCGTGGTCTAACTGGAGCTGTCTGTTGATTTTATTTTTACCAACCTTAACACAAGTACCTTCTATTATCTGTTACCTGCTACCTTTATTCTTATATTCTTTATAAAAATAGTAGGAGAACATTTTTTAATATATTGATGGGAAATTCCTTTTTGGACAACAAGCAAAACACGTTTTAATATAGCAGTATAATGTATTGTAGCGTGTTTTAAACATACACAAGGTAAAATACAATTAACAAATAGGAAGAGAAAGGAAATAAGGTTTCTATAATACTAGTATACAATAACGTCCAGTTAATGGCTTTTGAATAAGCCTACCCAACAACTGGATTCGACCATTATGAGCTATCAAATACCTTGTCTAAAAAAAACTCTAGCATTTATTATTTTTATTTCCTCCATTTACATAAACAATAAAGTCTGTTCAGCAACTTTTGGACAATTGAAGAAATATTTAAAACATCACTCATATTACTATTACCCAGAGGTAACTGTTATCACATTTTTTAGGCAATTTCTTTTAGTCTTTGAAATCACATTTTTGTCCGTTTTTCCCCTACACATGTCATTACATTTTTTCCCCAAAATGTTATTTTTACTTTATTGTTTTTAAGTTGATCAGTAAAAGTGACGTGCTATAAGATATTTAACATTTCAATAGAAGTTAATGGAATTACTGGAACCTATCTAGGACCAGGGATAAGAGTTCTGCAAGAAATGTTTCGAAAGCTTTTAAATTTCTACCCTTATACTTCATAACAGTGATTGGTGAGGCATAAAGCAAATGAATGGATATAGATATTTAAAGTCATTTTCTTGCTTGAAACAAGTGGCAGGGTGAAGTAAAGCTTATCAATCCACCCAGCCATGCCTGTGATACATACAATCTAAACAAAAATGATAACTTATGAGGCAAATACAACTTCAAGGCAAGTCCCTCTGGTTGCCCAAAATCTATCTAATGGTTCCTACATCCTTTCTTTATGCAAATTCTGTAGCTGTTACTCTTGTAATTTACCTTACTTTCTCTTGAATGTCAAGATGTACTCACATGATAATTAGATGTGAAGCAAAGGAAATCTTTGTATTGTCCTAAGTGTTTGTTGTTTTGACAAATGTGATGGAAATGCTGGGATTTCCAGCAGAAGCATTCCAGTGTCTGCCATTCATCCGAGGCAGTGTAAGAGAAGCTTTGGCACAGGTGACAATGGACCTGCTTCTTGAATCACAGCTATAGCACTGTGCTCTTGAAGTCAGCAGTCCCAGAAAGGTCTTCCAATTGACCACACACGTCAGTTCTGTGATGATTTTCTGCGAATCATTCATGGGACCTGACCTAGAGTCTGTTCTTTCAAACCTATATTTTTGTAAGCTTTTATTGTCCATTTCAAATGCTAAAAATAGATACACAAACTTCTCTCTCATAGAGCTCTCATAGACTATTGTCATTAAAAATGAGCGCAAGTGTCATTTCTAAGGCAGGTTCATTTTTTTCTGTGAAAGCCACTAAGGCTACCTGGAGAAAAAAAGTTCACAATGACAATCACTTTAGGCTGCTCTAGAGGCACACTATACCTAATTGTTATGATCTGTGAATTTGAGAGACCTTGTTTCCTTTCTCCTTCCCTCCCCTGCCTCCTTCTGTCCTCTCCTCTTTTCTGTTCTGTTCTCTTCTTTCCTCCACTTTTTCCCATTTCTGTTCTTAATTTATCATTCCTTCCCTAGTCTGGCATTCTTTCTGATCTGAGCTGAAGACTTGAGGGAGGCATTTCAGTAGAAAAGTAGATCTCAAAGTAGCAGAGGCAGCAGCATCTAAAACCTTGTTAGAAAAACAAATGCTCAAGTGGCCCAACCAACCTACTGAACTGAAACCGCTGGAGCTCGGGCCTAGTGAGCTGTGTGCCAACAAACCATAAAAGTGTTTCTTATGCGCATTAAAGTTTGAGAATCGCTGGTCTAAAACATAAAGCTCTGAGTGACATTGCAGCAGATACATATGGCACGGCATCCAAGGGAAAATAATTTCACTTAGATTCTACATCAGGGAGTAGCCTCAGGCAAAGCCATCTTATAAGACAACAACAACATGCAGCAAGTTTCAGCACGCCGTAGACTTCTGGTCCGTACATTCCATCCTCCACTCCCCACACTGACACTCAAAACCAATGAGCAGTAGCAATGCCAAGGAAGGAACTGAGTCCAGGATAAAACGTTAATGCAGGGTTCTGTTCTTAAAATTGTAAATGTAGGTAATACTAGAATTTTTCAGGGAAGAGAGCAGCTGTCTTTAACACTCGAAAAATTTATCTGCTGCAGTACAAAGAGTTTCAGTTTAGATCAGAGGAACCGGGCAGCCATCTTAACTTCTGTTCAGTTACTTTACAATCAAATCAGGACCTGTTTCTTCAACTGTGAAATGATTATGAACTACTGATTCTCGAAGGTCACATTCAGTTCTAGAACTGCTTTATCATTCCATGTGACTGTTGGGGATGTACCTAAAAACTACCTTGATAGGTTCTTCTACCCTTCTGATTTTATAACTTCTAAATAAGGGTTGTGTTCTTATTGAAGTGGGTATGAGGAACAGAATTGCAGAGTTCCTTCTTGTGTTAAGCCGTAACTACCAGAAAGGATCCTAAAAGAAACCAGGACAAGGTGATGTCAGGAAAGGAAAGCTTGAGCAGTAGTCAGAGTTGTAAGTAAAATGTGGGGCAAAAGCAGAAGAGGGAAAAGCCATTGCAGCTGTAACTTCAACTTACTGGTAAGTCTAGCTAGCGATTGCATTCGTCAAAACCTGAAGCCTTCAGATGGAGAGAGCAAATAGGACAGGAGCAACAAATTAAGTGGAAAAACACATTTTAAAAGTCAAATGCTGACCATGTCAGTCTTGCAAAAAGCAAATAGCTTTCTGCTAAGAAACTGAAAAATTCACAATTTCTTCCACTCTCTTTCTATCAAAAATAAAGTCAAGGTCAATATAAGATAAGACAAGTAAAGCTTCTAGTATAATTCCTAACACCAAGTATCATCTTGTGCCTCCTCTCCATCCACTCCATGAAAGAGTGAATTATCCAAGGCCGCAAAGCAGAGTCAGCACCCAATGCCAGTCTTACAGGACCCACAGAACCCTTTTTCCTTTCCAACAGCACCAGCCTACACGCATTTCATTTTCCATTATGTTATCCACTTGACTTCAAAACAACAGCAAGATTTGATCCTTGTCTGGTTTAAAATGTACATAAATATAGCTTGACTTGGTACTGTAGAAAGCAATGATGCATACATCGTATTTCCTAGGAACTTGGCTTCCTAAGGAAAAAAATTCATATCTTTCTCATTTTCATCATTGTCCATTGTAAGAGGAAGTAAATTTTGTTAGTGTTTATTGTTTATGTCAGGTTTTGAGGTGACTTTTTCTGAGGCTAGATTTCCTCAGAGAAGTTTACTTGGATTACCAGTCCTGAAAAATTGTTATGCATTTATTTTAATCTCTTCCCTGACAGAATAATTTCCGTACAGATAAAAGCATAAGTGAAAAACAGCTATTGTATATGCACAGTAGCATATTTTTAAACCCTATTCTATTAAGGAGAGGATAGCAAGAAAATGTACCCTAAGAATCAAGGCCCATACTTTACATTACTGGGTGTTATGTTGTTAAATCAATGCATGCTGGGTGGAAACTTTTCTCCTAATGCGTGCACCATTTTATAGGTTCTTCTACTACAAAGCAAAATGCGCAGGTCCTGTGTGCCTTCTTAAGTCTATAATTCTTTAATACCTTTTGCTTTTAATGTTTCCCACCCTATTTGTTCAGCAAATGGCTCATTTTAGATTAAAAATCAAATATAATTGAGCATGAAGGTGCTGACTTGGTGTTCTTTCTGCAAGGGTTAATGACCAATAGGCAGTGAGTTGAAATTAAAGTGAGAGGGGGTGTCGGTGTCACTCCCGGCCGGCAGGAAGGACACACAACAAAGTCTGGCAGTGGACAACCTTTTCTTTTATTTTCCTTCTCCGTACAGCCTGCCCCGGGAATCCTCCCGGCCGAAGCCTCTGTTGGTCCGCTCCCCGCGGCTCCTTGCGTGCTTCTCCCTACAGTCTGTCCCGAAGCCTCTACCGGTCCGCTCTCCGCGGCTCCTTGCGTGCTTCTTCCTACAGTCTGTCCCGAAGCCTCTACCGGTCCGCTCTCCGCGGCTCCTTGCATGCTTCTTCTGCTTCTTCTTTCGTGGCGGGAGAGGCACTCACTTTTATAGGGTTACAGTGGCCAATCAGTTCAAAGCGCGCGATGCGGGCTGATTGGCTAACATCAGTTGTTGCTAGGCAGACTATCTTACAGGGCGGGTTGTGAAGCAGGAGATCTTACAGGGCGGGTTGTTTACCAAGCAGGAAGCAGGAGATCTTACAGGGCGGGTTGTTTACCAAGCAGGAAGCAGGAGATAAGCGCCATCTTAGCACACTCGATGG